TCTTTTCGAATCTTTGTGTCTCTTCTCTTTTGATACAAAGGAGTTAGAAGATGCAGATGAGCCCATGGCCTTATTCACTTCAATTCTTCAAGATGTGGCTGAGCAGGCGATTCCAAAAACCACGACTACACCAAAACGTTTCAATAAACCATGGTACAACGATGACTGCAAATCCGCTCTTAAAGAGCGTGATCGCATCCTGAGGCGATTAAAGAACCATCCTTCCATGGAGAATATTGCGGCATACCAGATGGTCCGGGCGAAGGCTCGTAGAACCATACGTCAAGCAAAGAAATCTTCATGGCAAGGTTACGTCTCAAGGATTAATTCCCGTACCACATCTAAGTCGGTATGGGATAGGATTCGTAGGATTAAAGGTAAAAGTAGTGCATTATCAGTTAATCATTTAAATGTTGATAATACCACCTTAACAACATTTCCTGATATTGCTAATTCTCTGGCCAGTACTTTTTCATTTAATTCATCATCCAATTTCTCCTCCGATGCCTTTCGAGGCATTAGACAACAACAGGAGAAAAGGCGACTTAATTTCAAGTCCCGCAATGATGAATGCTATAATGATATCTTTTCCATTGCAGAGCTTCGGGATTCGCTAAAGCGAGCTCGAGATACTGCAACTGGGCCAGATGAAATACACTACCAAATTCTTAAACATTTACCTTTTTCCACTCTCTTAATTTTACTGGATCTTTTTAACCGGATTTGGGTTGATGGGAAATTCCCCCCTTCGTGGCATGAAGCCACAATAATTCCCATCCCTAAACCCGGTAAAGATCATACGAATCCTACCAACTATCGTCCGATCGCTTTAACTAGCTGTATTTGCAAAACCATGGAGAGATTGATCAATCGAAGGCTTGTTTGGTACCTAGAGTCCAACAACCTCATTACTGACCTCCAATGTGGATTTAGGTCCCAAAGGAGCACTCTTGATCATCTCGTTCGATTTGAAACGTTCGTCAGGGATGCTTTCATCCAGAAGCAACATTTAGTTGCAATATTTTTTGATCTGGAGAAAGCATATGATACAACGTGGAAACACGGTATCATGCGCGACCTCCATAACCTCGGCCTACGAGGTCGCTTACCTATCTTCATTAAAAATTTCCTGGAAGATAGGTCATTTAAGGTACGACTGGGATCAATATTCTCTGACCCATTTCCTCAGGAAATGGGAGTTCCACAGGGAAGTATTTTATCTCCAACATTGTTTGCAATTAAAATTAATACTATCCCAGCGTGCCTTAAACCAGGTACAAACGGCGCTCTTTATGTTGATGACTTTCAGATGTGCTATGGTTCTACAGACATGCGGATAATCGAACGTAAGTTGCAGCTTTGTTTGAATTCACTTCAACAATGGGCAACCGAAAATGGATTTCGTTTTTCGAAATCCAAGACTGTCTGCATGCATTTCTGTCAGAAACGAGGTTTGCATCCAGATCCAGAACTTTATTTGGATGGCAACCGCCTTCCAGTTGTGGATGAAACCAAATTTCTGGGGCTGATATTTGATAAGAAATTGTCATTTATCCCCCACATTAAAAGCCTAAAAAAGAAATGTCTGAAAGCCCTCAATATATTGAGAGTCTTATCAAATACTGACTGGGGAGCAGACCGTAAGGTCTTGCTCCGATTATATCGAGCATTAATAAGATCAAAACTCGATTATGGGTGTATTGTGTATGGGTCTGCCCGCGAGTCTTATCTCAAAGAGCTCGACACCATACACAACCAGGGACTTAGAATCAGTTTAGGAGCATTTCGTACATCTCCAGTGGACAGTTTATACGTCGAGGCGCACGAGCTCTCATTGCACAACAGACGTGATAAGCTTGCCCTGCAGTATGCTACGAAAATTGCATCACTTCCAAATCATATTTCATATAATACCATATTTAGACCTTATCATGAGCATTTATATCTGCGAAAGACTAAGGTTATTCCATCATTCGGTATTCGCATACAACCCCTCATGTCGGAGGCTGGTATCAGCCTTGACAGTATTGCGAATACCCCTTTCTTTAGGTCTCCGCCGTGGGCTATATCTCTCCCAAAGATCGATTTCGATCTTACTCAACATAAGAAGAGAGATACTAGCTCGACGGTGTTCCAATCTCTTTTTAGAGAACTAAGGTCTAAATATGGTGATTATGCTCCTATTTACACAGATGGCTCTAAAGATGGTGATCGGGTGGCTACGGCTACAGTGACGCCAACTGAGACCATTTCTGTGTGTCTTCCACCTGCTGCTTCAATATTTACAGCTGAGCTCCAGGCCATTCTTCAGGCTTTGGAGTTCATTCAATCATCACATTTACTACAGCACATCATCTTTACTGATTCTCTGTCCTCGCTTCAAGCAATTAACAATAAACAGCTTGAACACCCATTAGTAGCAGATGTTTATCGTCTGCTACTATCTTACGAGTTGAGCAGCAAGGACATTGTCTTTTGCTGGCTCCCCAGTCACGTTGATATAAGGGGGAATGATCAAGCAGATTTTGCTGCCAAAGCTGCTTTAGATCTTCCCCAATCACCTTTTTTAATACCATATAAAGATTTTAAAGCATGTATAAATCATTTTATTTATGACCGCTGGCAACGGTCTTGGGATCTTGCAGGCACAAATAAACTTCATCATATCAAGCCTCTCTTAGGAGACTGGCCAAGCTCCTATAGAACCAACAGGAGGGATGAAGTTGTTTTGTGTCGCTCTCGCATTGGTCATACTTTTTTAACTCACTTTTTCATCTTGAAACGAGAGCCTCAACCAGAATGTGAACACTGTCATGTTCCTTTGACAGTGAAGCACATTTTGATCGAGTGCAAGTATCTTGGAAATATTAGATCTAAATTTTACCGTTGCCAGACATTACATCATTTATTTGCTCAACCGGAGCTATATTGTGAGATACTAAACTTTTTAAAAGAGACAAAATTTTATTATAAGTTTTAACTGTATATATATATATGTATCCTATCTTCTTTCATTTTAATTGTTTATATTCATAAAGTATTTGATATTTATTTTTAACTTTATATATTATCTGTGATATTTGTTTTTATTTATGGATATAAATATATTTCTGTGATTTCCTTTATTTTGTCTTGAATTTTTCACCATATGTTTGGCGCAATATAGCCCGGTTGGAGCTGACGTGCCATAAAACCACATTTCATTCATTCATTTCTCCGGGTCCTCCGGTTTCCTCCCACTGCTAAAGACCCCTATGCGCAAGCGAATTATTGAAATAAAGTTAAACCATATGTTAGTCCCGAAATGACCTAGTTTGTGTCGAGTGGACGTTAAACCCCATTTCTCTCTCTCTCTCTGATACATATAGTAGAATGACATACAACATCAAATTATAATGTACAAGCAATATTTGTTTCAATGATTAATCCGTTTAATCGTGTATTTATGCACACAATCTGTGACATGCAAATATAGTATCTTAGGTTGAAACAATTATACCATAATACATGCCGTATAACCAACCCTGCGGGACGCCATGGTGGGTCAGTGGGTGTGACGCTGGCTCGCTAGCCTGTAGATCGCATGTTCGATCCCTGCATTGGTCGAGAAAGTTCATCAGCATTTTCCAGCGTCGTTTCCCATTGTCAGTGGTGCAGGACGGAGGGCCGTGGCAAGAACAGCTGTCTAGTCGTTCGGATGGGCCGATCAACTGAGGACCCGTCTATAAATTGGTCCACGTAAAAGATCCCTTGGCAGTTGGAATTCGATATAAGAGTAGGCCATAGTGCCGCTGCCCGGGCAAAATTTACCTCATAGCATTCTGTATAGCGTATGCCTGTCTTAATTAGGCCAGTAGAAGCAGAACATTAAGTTAAAGCCCATTTCATTTCAGATTAATAACCGTGCAATTTAGGGTTGTATAATTTTCAAAATGATCATCGCACGACATACATTATTTGTTTGACATTTTCCTGTCATTTTTTAGTTATTTCCCGCCATTTTTATTTCATTTTCTCATCTGTCCCGTTTTTCAACACCTAGATCCGTATTTTAAACTTCTGGAACAGGCCGTCAATTTGATTACAGCAATACAAGTCTCACTTATTTCCCAGATTTCTTTTGTCCGGGTGCAATGTTACTCTCTCGATATATATGCATATAAATTCGAGTTTTAATCGATTTTAATAATTCTTTTTCATGTTGAGATTCTTTATATGACATGTGACAGAAACTGTCTGTGAATAAGAAAGCTTTCATATCTGCCTAGCAGATCTAGTTGCTATTATAATCATATTAAGGCTTGTAATTTAAAACCTCTGGTTTCAGATTTAACTTAAGATTACCTTATAAACCTATAAGACAACTGTGAAGCTAATACCTTTAATGAAGAATCCATTTTGGCTTCAATGACTTTAATAGTTAGGGTAATTCTTTTGTCATAGCAACGGCAACACTAACCTGCGAAATATATCATTATTATTTTTTTAACTCTCATTTTTATTTCAGATGTTCTACATTGTGATAAGATTCATTCGAACGACGCAATTTTGTTAACTTCTTTTTAAAAGTGGCAAGTTTTCCTAATAAGTAAACCGGCGCCGCATCGCAATTGTTTTGGCTAGGTACATATCAATTACCGTCATTACAGCCGAGGCGAGATGTAGAGTAACGGAATCTACCGAGGTTTACCGAGTGAGATCTATCCGACAGTTTCCGGTTTACGACAGTAAAGAAATCCACCCAACCCAGGTATCTCACAAATTTTGAAAACAGTTACAGAAATAGATATGAAATAATGTTTAACGTCTTACTGTTCTGTTTGAAGGGAAAAAAGGATAAAATGCAGTAGAATTAAAAAAAGAAAGAAGGGCATGTTGTGTGGATAGGATTTTTGTTATACGGTATTATACGGTCTGTATTCATTTATGAATTATTAGAGTTGTTCAATCCTCGTCTAAAACCAGGATACAACGCTATTCCGGAAGTAGTCTTTGTTCTCGTTATACTCTTGTTATAGTCCCGGTTCTCGTCGTCTTGGCCAACAAGAACTCGCTACAGCGTATTTTATCTAGAAGAACGGACAAGAAGAATAAATAGCCAACTAATGGTGAGATAATATTATTATTATTACAGCATATTTATAGTGCACCCTTTCATATAACATGTTCAGGAGCACTTTACAAAGTGACAATGTAAATCATACATAAACAACAAGATTATGGACATGATTACATGTCATTTCGGTCCCGCGTCATTTCGGACTTACGTCATTTCGGACTCCAAAAAATATGTCCCCGACATTTCGGACTCGGGTAGGTGACATTTCGGACTCGGGTAGGTGACGTTTCGGACTCGGGTAGGTGACGTTTCGGACTCGGGTAGGTAAGATAGAATTATACAACACACTGACGCCAATTTACTTTATAAACTATTTTATTTATCAACATAGCATAAAATGATAACATCGATTTATAACAACGGGCATATTATTTTATTTTTAAACATACCATATAGCGATAACAACGGTCATATAAAACATTCATTTATTGTATAAATACATACACATTCATACATTAACGCAACATTTATAACAACACGTGTATTTATTTGATGAAAAAATAGCTTTAGTCGGCTATTCATTTTTTTTTTTTTTTTTTTTCATTTTTTTAATTATGTAATTGTTTTTCACTGAGCGGGTGGACCATACAAATGACTTATTTTTTTTAATAGTCTACTAGTGCTCATCTGTTTTTCATTGTATGAATCCCATATATTAAAAAGTTGGCCTTCTACATGTCGATACCGACGTCTTTGGTGTCGTCTCAATGAACCTTCCGACATCATTGTGAGGTCCAGTGGTATCTTTGTAGCTTCTGAAAAAAGTGCGCAAATCAATAGATAAAATGGCACAGGACCTCTGGCGTTGACACGGGAATTTAGTCTGTTGTGCCAGCCCTCCACGTCGTTATTGGTTCTCACTGGCAACATAAACACGCACCAATCTTCTATTGGAAACAGACGAGATGAAATCCATTGATCTTCTATGTATGTACATATCGGCTCTAACTGTTCTGGGCACCTGTCTTTCAAATGGGCAAACATGCCCGCCACGTGTTCTTCGGGCAGGAAAGGGAGAGCCATCAATCGCCTCAAATAATTAAACACGTCCCCCTTTTCGTTGTACGCTGTCTGAAATAATAAAATATTAGAAATATATTAATACTGAAAATCTATTTGTGCACTTGTACTTTAAAAGAAGATATTATAATAAGAATTTTTTTATTTTACTATAAGAAGATTTATTATAAGAAGAACGCACAACATACCTGGAATCCCTTTTCTTGAATTTTCCGGAAAACGGCCTGGGTCCAATGAAACACGCATCCTTGAATTCTTATATCTACAAAACGGCGTCTAAGGGCCTGCCATAACCCCGCCTCAAAATCCACCACAAATCCCTCCAAGGCAATCTGGCTTGGTAGCATCTTGTCCACTGCCCGGAGAACCTGTAAAATAAATAAACCAAACGTTCATTTATCTGATTATATTTATTCATTTATCCGATTGTAATCATTTCTCCGATTATATTCATTTCTCCGGTTATTCATTTCTCCATTTTTTCCGATTATATTTATATCATTTTTTTATTCCGAGTTTATAGATCACATCTTACCTTGTAGTAATCGTCCTGACTCTTCCCGGACATTACACAAAAGACAAGTGGTACCTGCTTCGTGGTTTCCCCGGCTTTTACGAAAGCGTGGATAGAAAATAATTGAGAATATGGTTTGTTGATAACTCGGAAGGTGGCGTCCATGTACCACGTTTTAGCCTTTGCCAAAAGTCGCAGTTGATCTTCAGTGGCAAAGATGTGATGTCGCCTTTCCCCTACTTTACAAATACAAAAAAGGCAAGTAGCATAGGTTTTACTTCAAGTTCAAGTTCAAAGGCGTGTTGTCAAGTAATGGCCTGTATGGGATAAATAAAACAAGACTAACAATGTTTAAATCTTTATTAATGTGAATGGTCTGTCTTGAGCCTCACCTACAACGAAAGAAAAACAGCTATTACTAATATATACACACATAATTTTAAGTTTTATTTGAGTCCGAGTCCGAGTCCGAAATGTCGCCGGTCCGAGTCCTAAATGTCGTTTGACTGAGTCCGAAATGACACCGAGTAAGTCCGAAAAGTCGCCATACTGAGTCCGAAACGACGTTTGTGCTGAGTCCGAAATGACGCGGGACCGAAATGACGTGCTACCATGGACATGTTAACAATTGTATACAGAGTCAGTTAAAAGCCTGATTAAATAAATGTGTTTTAAGTTGTTTTTTAAAAGAATATAGAGATGTACAACATCTTAAACTACTGTCTGTTCCAGGCGACACTACGACTCGAAAATTGCTTGCTATTTCTTCAATTTTTAATTAAAATTGTTAAAACTTAACGACCTACCTGGAATTGTCATCCCTTTACTTTCTACCGCACGTTAACTAATTTCAGATCAAGCTATATAACATTTCTGTCTTGAAAAATCGTTGTTTATTTACTTCGCGGTATTGAAGACAGCCATGCTTGACCTAGTTATCTGGAATAAACCAAATCGAACAGGGGTGTGGATTTGACTTTGGGTCGTTTCGTCCTACTTGCATGTTTAAATAGTTGTTTCGACCCAGTAGAATATAACTTGCTTTAATGAGCTATTTACGGGAGGTAATATATGAATTTGCTATTTGGTTTCAGACCACACTTGTTTGCTCCACTGCCTTAGATATTAAATTGGCGGCCCCAGTCTGGTGGCTTTCGGAAATTGATATAAACTACATACAAAGTGTGACCTAATATTGTAGTGACACGTCATGGAAATTTAGAAGTATCTAGCTTTGGGATAATAGATATATAACTGTCGCTTTTATTTGGCTTTGTACGACTTTTAATACTATTTTCTTGTTTGTTTTTTTTTTCTTTTTTAAAAGTTTTAATCCAATTGAAAAGGGGGCGCTCCTAAGATATTTTTATAGATAGCCTACTCTATTTCTTGTTTGATTTATTTTTTTTTTATTTTGTGAAATGCCCCTAACCAATCGATAATATGATAGAAAACGCAACGGGGGTAGTAGCCACACAAGGTCAACTCCTGATAGATCAAGGGCACGTAATTCCGTTTTTGTGTTCAGACCACGGTGTTTTTTTTACATTTAATTTATTCATATTGATTCGTCGTGAACTAAATTAAATTTCTGCCAGTCTACCTGTTAAACAAGAAAACGGAAAATAAATTGTTTTATACAAAATCATTTATTTACACAAACTCACAGAAAATGCTCCAACTATATACAATATAAATTATAGAAGTTGTCTGGCCTACATTCACGCTATCTATCATACAATTTACGCAAACAATCTACACACTTCACCACACTTGCACTTACATCAATCTCTTTCCCTGTACATTTCACATGCATCCACCTTTCACACAAATCACAGCCCACCCAATCCACAATCGCATCCGACTCACTTCCCGGTGGGTTCTCACAATCACATACACTACACACATTTTTATCATCATCACTCGAATCTTCATTCGCAACACCACCGCCATCCATATTCTCAGTAACCTTTTCACTATCACTCTCTCCACTGACATTCTCAGTAACCTTTTCACTATCACTCTCTCCACTGACATTCTCGCCCAAATCTTCACTCTCACACCCGAACTCGCTGTCACTCCCGAACGAAAATACGGCTGGTGGTACTTCATCATTCAATCTTCCCGCTTCCTAAAACCGATCCTCCACCTTGTCTATGACGTGTTGATATGCCTTAGCCCAGTCTGTAGTTGTCACACTAGCCTTGGCCTCCAGGAACAAACGCTTAACGTCTTTGATTTTAAAAGTGGTATTTTTTCGGGCGACATAGGCCTTTTCTTGTGCTAAAATGAAAATATTTTTGATTTAATGTGGATAAACTTTAAAATGTTATAAGATGTAGTAAAGGCTTCCATAAATGAATGTTTTAACCCTTTTTAACATCACAGATAAGACAAGATTTATTATCTTTCAATGTCGTCAACTTGACTGCCGTCCAAATTGCAGTGTTAAGTATTACCTTGAATTATCTCTATTGGGTTTAACTCGCAGTGCCTTACTGGTAACCCCGATCAACCGAACCAGCATCTAAGATGATCAGTCTTGATCCCTTACCAGAAGGAATGAATCTATCGCATTCATTGCAGTTTGGGAGAATTATGCCCAATGACCCTATAAATATAATAACATATGATTAAAATATGTCTATCCATAAATACTACATTAAAAATATAAACTTGCATAAGTATACGTAATAAGAAAGCAATTAAAAAAGTCATTACCTTTCCTGTTTTCTGTCCATGTTCCATGGATGGCTTGGTTATCATTTACCATGTTTCATCCAGGTATATAATTTCATAGCCTTCACTCCTAAAAATATCCAACTTTTGAATACGTAATTGAGTTATACAATTCTGTTCGACAGACTAATCTAATATTTTCATAAAATAATTATTAAAAACGTGTGAACGTATGGAAAATTTGCCTATATTTGCATAGGTTTCTTAAATAGCTATTTCGGGCAGCAACAATATCAACAGTTTCTTTCGCGTATCTTTTACCGTGATTTCTGTAGTACTTGAATCCCATTTCATTGATTGCCCGATAAAGAGTTGTTTTTGATAGTTGTTCATCTTTCTCTCTCAAGTGGCGTTGTAAAATGTGTAATGAAACCTTCAATTATGTAGACAATTATTAAATCAAGGTTATGTAATGCAGAACATGGCATATGTGTAAAGGTCGAAGAGCAATGATGAAACATATTTAAATGAACTGTACTTACATACTGGCCATTGTCGTGTAGTTTATAGATGGTCTCTCTTATTGTCATCAGGTCAAAATTATCTAATTTTGTTGAACATTTGTTGACCTTGCTTTTTTTATTTTCCTGCGTTGTAGATGATTCATTTTTCAAAGCCCCGTACACGGATTTTAAGGGTATATTCAATGCGTAAGCAATCTCTTTTTTGGAACTTTTATAAAATTCATTTTAATCTGTTTCTCAAAATAAGTAAATAAACGATTGATACATTGGTTCACATCTCGCGTAATCTTCATCTTGAAATTGTAAATAACAATAATCACTTACCCAGTATCCACCTTCTTATATAAACACATCATCGTGCACTTGCAAATGCATGTGATGAAAGGATGATCCATTATTCAAGGAATTATATTTTCTGCGATTCGTTTTTTTTTTATCTAATCTACGACAATATCTGAAACAAATCTTGTGTGCCTGTGGAACGCGAATATAAATAAAAAAATAGATTCCGGTAATCAAAACTATTTAAGTTCATAAAATTATAAGATATCGTACAATATTTACACTTTATCAGAAAGGTTACCATGCCATCTAATGCTGAAAATAAGTGTTCTGTGAGGAATATTTTAGGAGACATGCAGAACTATGAATATCTCTAAGGAATATTAAATACCGATAAACCTAAACACACACACATACGCACACAATCACACGCACACACACATACACTCGCACTGCCGCAAAACAAACCTGCGAATCCTCCCGCGCTAAGCATTATTAACCGAATGCACCCGATTTGTGGAATACCTTATACCCCTAAATGATATACGAGTGACCCAACTTACGCAAGCGCAGTGATAATGTTTATGTTTTGAGAAATTGATTAGTGTCGAAAAATGTGAAATTTACAAGAGAATAAAGGATTTTATCGAACTTATAGGCATTAAGGCTCGACGAAGAAAGTAACGGGGTGACAATTCCAGGTAGGTCGTTAAGTTTGAACCATTTTAATTAAAAATTGAAGAAATAGTAAGCAATTTTCGAGTCGTAGTGTCGCCTGGAACAGACAGTAAATGGTAGATTATTCCATAAAACAGGTGCTTGATAACTAAAAGAGCGCTGACCATAGACTAGTTGAACAGTTTTGGGCTTTAAAAGTAGTTTATCTGATTTACGTAATGTTCGACCAGGTGTATAAAGTTCTAAAAGATCTGAGAGGTAAACAGGAGCTAAATTATTTAAACATTTAAAAGTAAGTAATACAATCTTAAAATCAATTCGATATTTAACAGGTAACCAGTGTAAATTATATAAAACAGGAGTTATGTGGTCACATTTCTTAGTTAAAGTAACAAGTCTAGCCGCAGTATTCTGTACTTTTTGTAATTTATCTATAAGCTTTAAAGGTAAACCAACTAAAAGTGAATTAAAGTTATCTAATCGAGAAGTGACCAGAGAATTAACAAGTGACTTAGTGGCCTCTACAGTTATATGTAACAGACTATTGTATTCTCAGCCAACTTGGCTGCCGAGTAATGTCCGTAATTAGATCTGTGATACAGCTGTGTGTCGCACTTGTAACCTGACTAAAAGAAGACCGCCTAGCAGACGGTCAATCTATTTATAGCCCAGCGTAGTAATACAGGAACTTTGTTGTGTAGTGTGGTTAGGTTTGGTCTGTTATAGTCCCGGTTACTGAGCTGGGCACCATTCAATAGATACCGTATATGTTACGGTCATCAGCAAAAATATAACAATTAAGTTTTTCAAGTGATACAGATAATGTTAAATGATTTCTTTTTTCTGAATTGATTTTAATTTAGATCTAAATTGTATGATTAATTTTGTTTGAACATAAAATTGTGAGAATTATTTTCATTGACGTCAGAAATGTGTGATGCATTGATTAGATGGTCATAGAAATATTTCTATGAGATGCGTAATCTGGCTTGAGTGAGATTTGGTAAATTGACATGCACATTGCCTGTTTTGCACAGTGTATCCGGTTCCGGTCTGAACTATTTTAATCAACAGTCATGGTTGACATTTTCAGTTACACTCCTGTCTTACCGGAAAAGAGCTTTGCTCAAACCCAGCGCATCACGCGGTGCTTTAGAGCTTTGGTCTATATTAATTAATGGTATCAGACCACTCGGTTCAAGACCACTCGGGTTGGACTTAAAAAAGACCAGTCGGATCAAGATCACTTGGACCAACCTAAAAGACTACTCGGATAAAAGACAACTCGGACCAATTAATTTATATTGGTAGACCACTTGGATCGATATTTATCTTTGCTACACGGACCATCCCTACGGACCGCTTCTTGGACAAATATTTAGCTTCACTTATTCATTTTAAAAATAAAGTACACATTTTAAATAGATATTATTTATTATTAAATCACAATACAAAGAAGTGAATAATTTAAAGGTGAATCTATACATAATTTAATACTAGACGTGATCTACAGGTGAGGTATATATTAGCAAATATTCATCTTTATTACATCAACAATTTAATAAACAATTTATCACACCAATATTTCACATCAACTTTTATATATTACAGGAAACTAATGATGTTATAACTTTTATATATTACAGGAGACTAATGACGTTATAACTTTTATATATTACAGGAAACTAATGATGTTATAACTTTTATATATTACAGGAAACTAACGATGTTGTAACTTTTATATATTACAGGAAACTAATGATGTTATAACTTTTATTTATTACAGGAGACTAATGATGTTATAACTTTTATATATTACAGGAGACTAATGATGTTATAACTTTTATATATTACAGGAAATTAATGATGTTATAACTTTTATATATTACAGGAAATTAATGATGTTATAACTTTTATACATTACAGGAAGCTAATGATGTTATAACTTTTATATATTACAGGAAACTAATGATGTTATAACTTTTATTTATTACAGGAGACAAATGATATTTTTACTTTTATATATTACAGGAGACTAATGATGTTAAAACTATTCATCAGTGTACAGTGTGTGATGAGATTTTTCCACAATATGATGATTTAGTAAAACACAATAAAATACATGTTAAAGAAGAGAAAATTGATGATGTCGATGAATATTGTCATGTTAAAGAAGAGACAACCGATGATGTAGATGAATATTGTCATGTTAAAGAAGAGAAAACTGATGATGTAGATGGATATTGCCATGTTAAAGAAGAGAAAACAGATGATATTGAAACTGTTTATCAGTGTAATTTATGTGATGAAGAATTTAAATCTGACACTGATTTAGAGAAACACTGTGAAATACATGTTGAAGTCGAGAAAATCAACGACCAAACTGAACAGATCTTCGGACTGAAGCACACCAATAAAAAACCATATAAATGTGGTGTTTGTGGCGAGGCTTTCGTTAATGGTAGCCCCCTGAAACGACACATGGCAGTTCATTCAGGAGAGAAAATATATGAATGTAATCTTTGTGGTCGAACATTAAGTTACCATAGCATGCTACAGAGACACATGAGAATTCATACTGGTGAAAAACCTTATAATTGTGATGTTTGTGGTAAATCATTTTCTACAAGTAGTAATTTACACCTGCATGAAAGAATTCATTCAGGTGAAAAACCTTATATATGTGGTGTTTGTGGTAAATCATTTACTTGGAATAGTCCGCTACAAAACCACCTCAAAATTCATACCGGTGAACGACCTTATAAATGTGATCTTTGCGGTAAATTATTCGCTCAAATTCGTTCTCTACAAGCACACACGAAACGTTCGACAGGGGAAAAACTGTATAGATGCCAATTTTGTTGTAAATCTTTTATGAATCTTATCAATCTACAAGATCACATCACAATTCATCCAGAAGCAAGAACCGGTCAATCATTCAGCCTCAAAAGTCAACTACAGAACAACATGGGAAGTGACATTGGTGATAAATCTTTCAGCCTCAAGTCATCTACAGAACAACATGAGAACTGATATTGGTGATAAATCATTCAGCCTCAAGTCCTCTACAGAACAACATGAGAACTGATATTGGTGATAACCCTATAAATGTGATGGTTGTAGTAAATCATTTACTGACACAAGTAATCTACAGAACCACATTAGAACTCACACTAGAGTTAAAACCTTATGTGTTGTTCCATTAATGGAAGGGAGCTAAAAGCACACCTGAACTCATCTGCTGTACTCTTAACGCAGCACACAGAAACTTAAACTGGAGAAAACGCTTAAAACTGTGATGTTTGTGGTGAATCATTTAGAGATTCTGATCCGGAGTTCACAAAGCATTCGCAGACTTAATTTAAGACTCATTCAGTCCTAAAACCTGTTTATGTTACAAATTTTAAGCGTACCAGGCACAGTACCAGGTACGGCACGCTTCCCTTTTTTGTTGTGCAAACGGGTCAAACGTAAGCCTGCCGCCCCTTCAGCGTGGTTCTCCCTTGTCAGTGATGCAGGACGGAGGGGCTGACAAGGAAAGCTGTCCAGTCGTTCGGATGGGATGAAAAACTGAGCTCCCGTGTACACATTGGCGTGCACGTAAAAGATCCCTTGGCAGTTGGAATTCGAAATAAGAGTAAGCCGTAGTGCCGCTGTCCGGGCAAAATTTCCCTCATAGCACACTGTATGGCACATTAGCCCAGGTTAGGAGCAGAACAGTAGGACGTTAAACTCCATTTCATTTCATTTCATTTCTGCCGCCCCTTGTTACAGTGCCAATCTGGCCCACTGAAGTGAGGTGGTCTCGGAACGGTACCAGGACCGGCTCGCTTTAAATTTTCGTAGTGTAGACGCTAACCGGTCTGAGCACGGATTACTGCGCATGCACCAAATGAACCTTGACCTTTTTTCCCTGCAAACTTTGACAGCTCTGTCATCAGTTCTGTAAAAATGGCTGCTCAAACTAAATCAACCATCATAATTGTTTTCATCTGTGTAATTTGTATAGGGACTGAAATTAACTTTTCTGTGAAGAGTTCCACATTTAGCGTGCTTATTTTAGAGTAATGTAAACGGGTCAATTTCTTGAAATTTATCGCGGCCTGGTACCGTGCCCAGAATGGCACGCTTATCGCGGCGAAGTGTAAACAGTGCTTTAGTCACACCCCCGTTGACCTAATTAACATTTGAATTTCACCAGCTTATGCCCGTATCAGTGGCCTGTATATGATGATATTCCCTGCCTCATTGATCAATAAAGTTATAAATCTGGCTTGTTCTTCTAATAATTTCTTCACTGTGGAAAGTGATCCCGATTCAGAAATTGAAGGGTTTTTATCAAAGGATCTTTTAGACGTGAATAGTAATCTTCCAAGATCCCTGTAGAGGCCTAGAAATTCATGTGAATATCCGAATCTAATATGCACAAGGATTCTCGGAGAATTGTCGAGTCCAACTATTGAATGTCAGTCAAGGTCATTGTTCTTAATCGGCTGTATTGTTTTGGCTTTAGCTGATTGATATTTAATCTATACGATTGGTAAAACAATTACAACGGGTTAATCATTACTTGTTAATAAAAATATCAATTAATGCTTGTCGGCTACAATAACAGTCATACCCTAGTGAGAATCCGTCGTATGTGGTTCATAATCCGAGTAATTAGCACATTTAACACTGATTTTGATAATCTGGTAAAAAAAACAAGCTTGCTGATAATTCATAACATGTTCAGTAAAATACGCCACGTGGCAAATGATTCATTGAAGACGATCTAGTCATGGTTTGCGAATCGCACATCTTCCGTGCTCCGTCCGTTTGAATTTAAGGTAGTCGGTAGATATTAAAATAATAACTGGATCATACATTGATGGATTCACTGACCAGTTGTTAGGTAAATTTAAATCTTCATTGAATATAATCCCCTGATAGAACACAGAATACACGGAAAGAGAAACAATAGATATTTTCCCGACAAATTCCAATGACACGTAACATATCAGTTGGAATAAGGTCAACAAACTATTTCTAAATAGCGTTTGACGTTATAATTTTTTTATTTTATACACATGCTGACAGAGACTTAATTTTAAAAATATTATAAAAATATTATTGAAGGCTATATCACAATCGTCCAGAATTTTATTTTATACCAATTTCAGTTATGGTTGTCACATGATCATTGTGCCATGTGTCTATTATCGGACTGAATAAAAACTTTAGCTAGTTACATGATGGACAAGACTACAAATTGTGCTATGAAGAAATGCCATCATGCTTATTTTGGCTACAGCTTATTTTGGCTACAGCTTATTTTGGCTACAGCATTTTCTGGATATTACTTTTGACACTATTTAAAGCGATAATTTCATATTTTCTGAGAAAGTCAAAACATAATTATTTGTGTGTCTTTTGCTCAATAGGTTGTCAACTCACTATTATACGATCATAGGTATTATTCTCCCTCTTAAAAATCCTTTGACCCCGGAAAAAATAACACAATTACCTTCCTTGTTTTTCTATTCCCCCCATGGAATAGCTATCTTCAAAGGTTTGAATTTAAAGTTGAAAATGATATTTTTGCCAATTTCTCAACTGGCAATAGTGAATTATAGGATTAATAGGATTATTCTTTAACAAGGTAGGACTCTTTATAGATACCATCTATTTTAAGGCTTTATTTTAATAAATTTTAAAAATATAACTTAAAAATATGAAATTGCAGCTTTAAAGCGGAAATTGCAAATTTTCAAGTTATATTTTTAAAATTAAAGGATTATCATTCAATCCCATGGAGAACACAGAAGTCGCATTCGTGTAAGTCGGATCTTCATTCAATCCGGTTAAAATCGTTTGGACCCGTTTGATCCTGCACGTTTTTCTTATTAAATTTCTGCGTGTAAGTCGGATTTTCGCTCAACTCTGATCAAAATGTTCGGTCCATTTGATCTAATTCCGAATCGGCAGTATGTTCAGATTTTGACTGTCTAAAACGCGGTTAGATATTCCATGCACAGAGCCCCAAAATACTTTCCTCTGTCATTTTGACTCAAATCAGCCTATTTGACGCGACGCAATAATAGAATTTTCCCGGAAAACTTCAAAATTTGCTGTCTGCTGTGAAAATTTAGGACATTTTTAAAAGATGGTGATAAAATGGAAGTTAGCTGCTCGCACCAAAACGGAAGTTATCAACTCGCACATACGAACATAAGCTTGAAATGTGCCTTTGAATCAATTATTATCTGACTCTTGCAGTTTATTTGCTTAACTCAGATAAAATTAGTCCACTTACATGTAGATCCGACTTATGCAAAGTTTACTGTAATACACATAAAAAACTTCCAAATTCTGAATCGGTATCAATCTCCATAGCCATGAAATTATTAAAAGAGTTAGAATCGCGGCCATCTTCTTCTCCATTTGAAATCTCAGAAAGGGGAAACCACGTCGGAAAATCCCAGCGAACTTTCTTGGCCAAAGCAGCAGGGCTAGAAATTCGTTTAAGAGGATTCTCATATATGGCATCTGCGCGAATCCTCTAAATCTTAAATAATAATACTGTCTAAAAAACAAGATTATGTTTATTGTGTTAATCTAAAACATCAGAATACATGAACAATGATAAAAATAAAACAATCAGATGGAATTTTTGATAATACTATAATACCATAATATAAATACATACATTACATAAACATTAATTTAATACATAAATATACATAGACATTTAACATAATACATCTAATTACATAAAGTCCCATCAATAATCCATTGCCCGAATTTAACAAGCAAAGCCAACTGTCTTGTGGTTGAAAACATCAGATGTCTTTCTCCTTTAACTTTTATATCGGCATGTAAAAAATTATCAGGTATTGCATCTTCATTTACCTGTAAAATAAATTTGTAAATATAGCTTAACCTAAAATATATTTTGTAATATTACAATATTATTTCCGGTTTACGACAATCAATAAATTCACCCAATCCAAGTAACTCACAAATTTTAATGACATTTACATAAATAGAAACGAAATGGGTTTAACGTCTGTTTGAATGGAAAAATGGATAAAGAAGGGTGTGTTGTGTGGATTAGGTTTTTGTTATACGACATAAAAAGTATTATACGGTCTGGTTTCATTTATGAATTAATAGAGTTGATCAATCCTCGTCTAAAACCAGGATACAACTCTATTCCGGAAGTAGTCTTTGTTCTCGTCACTGAAGGCGATTGATCAACAAGTCGCGACGTTTGCTCCGAGTTTCATCCGAAGAATTATTGTTTGTAAACTATTTTAATCATCAGTTGCAACGTATTTTATCTAGAACAACGGACAAGAAGAATTAGAAAGCCAACTAATGGTGAGATATTAAAGGAGCTAAATCGCTAACATTTGGGACCTAGAAATTCACAAAAGTGGGTCGCAACGCATATAATACTGTAGGTATGTGGCAAAAAAAATGAAAGTCACTGGATTTTAATGAGACTGGTATCAGTAGATAGGTCTCTCCAAGACCTTTCCAATGACACCAAGATCACATTTCTGTGACAAATAGTAAAGGAGGTACACCATTTTTTGTGTCACCAATTAGCGCTAATTGGCGGCTTTGTCTTTAATAGGAAAATGGTAAGATTAACGACTTGGCGCCGTGACCGAAAAGTGGAATCCAGGAGAATGCACATAACTTTCTTATTTTTAACTCAAATTCAAAGTTAAAGGTATCAATGGAAAGCTTATTCACAGACGGAGGAGTATGTAATACTTTAAAACAAGAATAGTAATGTGTTCATGTTAAATTTTAATTAAAATGACAAGTCAAAAATCATACAATAATTGGTGAAAGGCATCGGCGTCGCACAACTTTTCTTGGTCAATGTCCTACTAGGATTTCATAAAACAACAGTTTCATTATCCGATCAAGTTATTTAAGTGCACCAATTTTAACACACACTAACTAATAATCCATATATAGTATTATTCAAACTCAGCGTCTATTCTACCTAACAAAAAATCAAGTCTTCACAAATGAGATCGGCAGCAAGTTCCAACTTGGGGATTTCAAAGTCCTCTGCATCCTCATAACTTCCTTCTGCTGACCAATAAGCTATTTTGTAACAATGAATGTTTTGTTTATTTCCATCTTTCTTTCTTTTTTTCATTTTTTCTACTCTACCACACCACTCAGTCTTTTGATCGGTGTCTTCGTCATACCAAGTGTGGCAGATGCTGCGGCCAACTATACTTCCTTCAAAAAGACCAACTAAGTCAACATGGGTCTCATCTGACACTTCAGGGAATACTGTTTTAAGAGCACTAACATCTAGATTTTTAAGTTTTTTTTCAATGTCTTTCCTCTTTTTAATATTCTTTTTCTGTCTATTGTGTGCCGCTCTCCTTGACAATTCCTTGTTAACATCACAAATTTTTTTCCTGTTCATTGATCTTTTCTTCCGCGCCTTGCCAATTGCCCATGTCACAATGCGCGACCTTTTCCCCTCATACACACTATCTAACCACCCCACAACATTGTTTTTCTTTGCACGCATCCTTGCCACCAAAAAGTCTACATTTGCATTTTTTGCCCTTTCTTTTCCCGCACTAAACATACCCATAATTTCTTCAGAGTCAATGTTGTGCAATCGTGCGGACTCAGTTTCTCTTCTCAACTGCTCAGTGATATCCATCCCAAAATAACGTTTGTATTGTCGTTCTAATACTTCTATGATGGCTTTCAAGCAGGCTGTTGCCATGATTCTGAACATGTCCTTGTTTACTGGTTCCCTCAATAAACTATGAAGTGTTTTGTCGTCTGGTTTGAATGCACCACCGAAAAAATCTACATTTCTTGTAATAATACTAACTGGGTCATCCAGCATTTGCCGAAGGGTACAAAGCACATCTTTTACTATGTTGATACCTTCCATATGTGAAACTTCTGACTCAGCTGAAGCATAGAACTTGGTCATCCATGGCCCTGTCAGAAGCTTTCCAAGGATACCAACAATCTGCATTTCTGTGATGGCAGTTTCTAAACCAAAATCTTTTAGTAAACTGGGTACTAAACCACCACAAGAAACCGAACCACTTCCTAGGAAATTGAGTAGTAAATCATAATGTTCAAAGAATTTCCCACTGATATGGAAGAGGATATGAAGTCTGTTTCCTCTGTACCTAGGCAGAAGAGCCCTTGGTAAGTTGTTGTCGTCTAGGAATGTCTTGAACCCCTTAGGATCTCCTTTTGAATCTTTATATCTCAGTTTGTTCATTTGTACAACTAAGTTTCCAATTACACAGTCATTCCCAAATAACTCTCCTTTCTCACTCTCAACGGATTTTAAGGCAGACCTACATTTAGTTGCTATTGTATCTAGCGGATGTAAATGGCAATTGAGTTCATTGAGAGTTTTTCCCCATGAGGCATTAACCTGTCGAATGGTTGCCTGATTCACAGCAGCCCTGTCATTCATGGTATTGGCTATATTACTTATTATCGTTTCTCTACAATACTGGTACTCTTCCTCATGAAAGTCAGAATAAACGTCTGCAAGATAATCAATCGTGTTGGTGATGTGACCATGGTAATCATTAGCTGTCCCTCCAGGAAGCTCATCTACGGCAACAAGGTCACAGTCACTTTTTGTAGTCAGGTGAATGCTGTTCACGTGAACTCCTTCTTGGGTGGTAGCATCAAAGCCCAAAGTAAGGTTTTTTGATTTCATGGCTAATTCTGCACTTTTCAAATCTGCAATAGTGTCAAGTTCCCTGGCCATCTGCTCCACTGTGGTCCTATGAGGCACAGATGTGAGGACGTCTCCATTTCGTTTCGCCTGCCCTGCTATGATGCCTGGAACATTATTTGTTGGCACTTGACCCACAATTGTATTATAGACCATCATGCGTGTCTTGACACTGTATGTTTTTCCATCCTTTTTAGTTTCTTTCTCCTGGCTTTTTTCATTCTTTAATTCCTCAACCCTTTCTTGCCATTGAATAACTTCATTTTCATATCCCCTTGTCAACTCCTTTTGTTCAGATAGTTCCTTCTTTACCCTCATGAACTCCTCTTTTGAAACTGTTTCAGATTTTTTTTCCTTCAGCTTTTCCTTATTCGAATTCAACAAACGTTTATGAGTCCTTTGAAGATGTCTAAGCTCTGCCTCCACACTCATATCGGGCCTTTTTTTCAATCTCAGGAGTTCTTCCTTGAGCTGAGCAATCGTTTTATCTTTTTCCAGCATAGAGTTCTTTCTCCGTTGTTTACACTGATTTATCTTTTTCTTGTCATGATAGTCACTATATTTCAGCTTCTCTTTCAAGCTCCTCAAACAAGTCAAGTATTTCTTTTTTTCAGTATTTCTCATATTGGACAAACACGTAAGCCGCTTCCTCATCTCAAGTTTTCTTGGGGTGAGCATGTGCCTTGGGGTCCGGGGTGAATCTGTGTTCTTCACTGGTGTGTGGGGCGGCTGCTGCTGCGAGGGGCCTGGAACAGGTGACGTACATGTATCCATGGCTTCATGTGATTGAACTGGAGGTGGTGATGAATCTAACGTAAAAGGCTCAGCACAAAATAGCGCAAACGATTCAAACTCAGACTCCCGACTTAAATGTTTGTACCTGCCATAACGATTGACAACAGTTTTTACAGCACTAATGTTCAGTGAGATATGATCAGGTGCAAAGCGTTTAATGGCTGTGACAGTCTTTGTCTCAGATTTCCCATGTTGGAAGTACAGTGTCAAAATATGCCCAACTTTGAAATTGTTCTCTGGCATCTTTCCGTAGAGATTCATCAGATGTTGACGGCCTGGACCCGGCTTTGCTGGAGGCAGTGCAGTCCTAGTCTTTTTCTTCATTGTGGAATGTAAACTGAAAAATAAGAATAAAAGTCTGTAAGTTATAAGCGAAATAAGTCATACTATAAGAGTATAAGTAAGAATTTGCAGAGGAATTTAAAACAAAATTGAACATATCCCTGTCCAAACAACAATCTAAGTAATGCCTCTATGACTTTTTCAAATAAATCATCAAAAACATATCAAAATTAAGTCATGAAATGCAAAAAAAAACAAACTCAGCACATTATTTTGTTTATCAACACAACGGATCAGCCAATCCAAAGCAAGAATGGAGGTCACGTGACCCAAACGGCCCTAGTTTTACACAAATTGCTGGATTTTATACCATTCTAAATCATCAATCATCGGCGTTATTAAGGCATAAAAATACCAGACACTGTATTTAATTATATCTTTACATACAAATGATTATATAAAAAACACAATTGATGTTGTTTATGGCCGTTTTAGTGATTTATTTTTGATCAAAAAAGATGGAAAACACATTCAAATTTGGTCCCGATTTCTAACCCCGACCTTGACACCTTTCGCGGCGGATTCAAAAAAGTGGGTTGGTAATCCATGAATTTCGCTCAAAATCAACACAGATGTTGTCAATATAATAAAGAATAATACATCAGAAGATCAAGTCAAACATTACTCACCTTTAGACGTTAAATAGGCTGTTTTGTGAAGTAAACGGAACTCGAAAACTGCAAGTTGAAATGTAAAAATATTCGATGCGGACAATGGAAAAATTTTGGCAACATGGCGGTAAATAAACATGTGTACTACGTAATTAGTCTCTGAGCTCGACTTAAGTTATTGTGTAACACGTAGAAAAAAGAGAATTAGTACGGGGGAGGTATCGAGGGAATTCCCTAAAGCAGAAAAACGAAAACGAGGCTCGAGCCGAAGCGGCTCTGGAGATTATCTGGTGTTTGCCACATACCTAAATACTGTAATATGAATGTATATAAACTGATTTACATTTAATGGTTTCCGTTTTTACTCCAATTTCAAATCAGTTATGTTCGGCGAAATAAGTCAGCAATCTCAATCGAGTTCAAATTTCTAGCGTCTAGTTATTCTAGTCTACATAACTCCATTTGATTTGGTGCAATGTGTCTAGCCTCGTCTCTCGAGTCTCTCAATACAACTGGGGCTGAAGCGCATAATAATAATTAAATAGCAATACGATAACTAATAGTAATATAAAAACATGTTAAATAGCAATATTACAACAGACATACTTTCGTGTATGTACTTTTATTTTCGTTGTTCAAATATATGTACTTTTATTTTCGTTGTTCAAATATATGTACTTTTATTGTCGGTGTTCAAATATATTCTCTTATTGTCGGTGTTCAAATATATGCGCTTATTTTCGTTGTTCAAATATATGGACTCTCATTTTCGTTGTTATAAATCATGATCAAATACTACGGGTAAGTAAATAACAATTAAATTTTTCATAGTAAAACAAACACAATTATCATTTTATTAAAACAACACTTTATTATTGGTCCGAGTAGTCATATTAAAACAAACACAATTATTAATTTATTAAACAACGCTTTATTATTGGTCCGAGTGGTCTTTTTGTTTGGTCCGAGTGGTCTATCAATTGATCCGAGTGGTCTTTGGTCCGAGTCCGAGTGGTCTATCAATTGGTCCAAGTGGTCTATCAGTTGGTCCGAGTGGTCTATCAATTGGTCCGAGTGATCTATCAGTTGGTCCGAGTGGTCTTGGTCCAAGTGGTCTATCGATTGGTCCGAGTGGAGATGGATTCATATCAATATGAACAGTCATTGTCTCGAGTAGGGCCAAGTTTATTGTTGTCAATGATTTCGTTTTTATACGCCTACATTGAAATGTGGTTGTATATTGTCGTCCCTGTCTGTCGGTCCAGCGTCCAGAATTTCTTGTTGATGCTCTAGAGCCTAAAGTTAATATCCGATTGATTTTGAATTTATACACAGTGTTTGAGGTCATGAAACGAAGAAGCCTATTGATTTTCAGCTATTTTCGATAATAATTGCTAATTTTGGACCTTGATCACTTTGAAAAATCTTGTGCTTGCTCTAAAGACGAAAGGTCCTATTGATTTTCAGTGATTTCTGATAATTACTGCTAGAGTTATAGCCCTTGATATGAAATGTTTTGTATACTAAACATTAGCATAGGGCCGAAATAGAAGCCAAATGGGTTATTACTCGTAATCAGATTTCAGTGAATTGTAAATGTTTTGTATTACTGACAAAAGAAAAAATATGTAACAACCCTTGTTGACTGCTCGAACGACATAGTTGCCTTGGGCATATATTTTCGTTGCCTGGCAACCTGTCTTTCCAAATTGACTTTAGGCATACATTGTATGAGTATTGGATGAATTACCGATTAATTTTGTTTTAAAAAAGGACAAAAAACTGTGAGAAATTTTGAAAGAGTGAGTGGGGTGTCCTCAAAAAGACATTCACAACAGCTTTAGTGCATGTATTATGGTATCTAAATGTGCTTGACAAAAAATGGATGAAACCCAAAAATAATGACTTTGGAATTTGTAACTTTGGAAAATATGAAGCGATTATACCATTGAGCACTACACAGCTACAGGGTAAACAACTCAAGGTGGGAAATCACAGATGCAGGGTAAACAACACAGCATGGGAATTCTCAAACTCATACAGATCACACATGCAGGACTTTTCATCCCAAAAACGTATCATCCAGGGGGCTGCACTGTAACCCAGGTATCATTTAATCTTGTGTATCTAGCACAAATTTCTTTCACATTCGTTTAATATCAAATCTTTGTTTAAAAATTCGTAAAAACTGTTTAAAATCAACATAAATCATTTAATTTGTAATTCTGTCCAGTTTAAAGCTGACCATTCAATTTTGATAATGAGTGTCCAATTTACAAGTGTTTAATTTCTCAATCACTGTTAAAAAATAAACAACCCAATTGATTGATGATGTGTAATTATTAATTTTTGAACAGTGGTCAGGAAATTAAATACTTGTAAATTGGACACTCATTATCAAAATTAATCAGTCAGCTTTAAACTGGACACATGTAGAAATTAGCTGATTTTTGGTGATTCTAAACGATTGTTACAAATTTTTAAACAAAGATTTGATATTAAACGAATGTGAAAGAAATTAGTGCTAGATACACAAGATTAAATGATACCTGGGTAACAGTGCTGTTTCATCCCAAATTTCAGGGATGGATCCAGAGTTGGGGGGATCAGCTAGATGTACATAAAATAATTTATAAAACAACGAGAAACGGGTCATGTCATGTCAATATTATTCACCATATCTTGATGTCCGATTGAGCATATTCCTGGTCAGACAATTGGAAAATAGTGCAGGACATGTCTGGAATATACAGGCGAAATCCCAACACTGGACGATAGAGACCATGTATGTCACAAAACATTTCAAGGCCAGGGGATGGAGAGAAGAGAAACAGATAACTTTTATTCTAATTGAATAACAGTGGTGAAACTTTGTGTATAGTTTCATTACATCAATACCGTAACAAGGTTCGATGCTGAGCATTTTCTGCTTAGGCAAAGTAAAGACTTCAATCTGATTGATCAATAACTCTTCTTCTAATTTGGGTAGAATGTTCAAAATTAGTATTGGTGTCTATTAGGCGAATGCCTTGACAGAGTTCAATCATACGCATTTTCCACTTAGTCTAAGCAGAGATAAGCAGTTTGAACATGATAACTTTGGCTCTTAATTTGCTAAATAGTTGTATCATGTCTGGACTCCTAGCTGTGACTCAAAATAAAATTTTAAGGCAGGCCATTATTCTAGTGTTCTCTTGAGATATCTTTGAAGAGTCGGCCATCTGGTTTGAACATGTTCAATCTGATTAGAATATAGATCTATATTTCATTTCATTTTTTTATACTTTCGATGGCCTACACTACTTGCAGATCTGGCTGGTTGTAGCGATAAGTCGTGTCAGAGGTCATACGAGCGGCTTTTGACCCTATGATGTCGGGCATTTGATTAACCAATCAGCATTGATGTTACTAGTGGATTACCCACTGTTCCGTGCAAAACATGCCTAAAGCTTGCCGTAACAGATCGTTTCATTGACTAATCCCTCAAACCATCCAGAACACGTCAATGATAACAACTCTTCCAGATCCTAGTCTAGTAAAGACGAGTAAAAACAAAGTGAAATAGGATCTGTGTTTGAATCAGATTGGAACATGTTGTATGAGCTGGTTCAGCTCAACCTCTCAACTCTCTTGAAATGACTTGTATATCTCAGTTCTTTTGGAGCTAGAATAAAAATAAAATGACTGTCAGTTATCTGTTCAAAAGGAGAAATATACAATTTTAAATATCTTCTTTATAAAGCTTAAAATAGATGTGAACATCTCAGTTCTTTCGAATATAAATAAAATGGCTGTCAATATAAACTCTTAAATATCTTGGTTACCTTAAATGGAAATGATCATGGTCAACTGACAGAGACAACCTATTTACAGCAAGATTCTCCAAGTGACAAATTCATCCAAGATCAAGCATAACAGAATTATTTTTCCCAATCATCCCACTGGCATTGTCCCATTTAAAGGTCCAGCCTCATGGGTTTTCTCTGGGTCCTCTGGTTTTCTCCCGTTGCATGTTAATAAACCAGTAATTGTTATTCTATAAATAGAGTTAGTGTTTTATAACTTTTATATTACAGGAAACTAATGATGTTATAACTTTTATATCTGACAGGAAACTATTGATGATATAACTTTTATATATTACAGGAAACTAATGATGTTGTAACTTTCCATCAATGTGTTGTATGTGATGAGATTTTTCCACAATATGATGATTTAGTAAAACACAATAAAATACATGTTAAAGAAGAGAAAACTGATGATGTAAATGAATATTGTCATGTTAAAGAAGAGAAAACTGATGATGTAGATGAATATTGTCATGTTAAAGAAGAGAAAACTGATGATATAGATGAATATTGTCATGTTAAAGAAGAGAAAACTGATGATATAGTTGGATATTGTCATGATAAAGAAGAGAAAACTGATGATGTAGATGAATATTATCATGTTAAAGAAGAGGAAACTAATGATGTAGATGAATATTGCCATTTTAAAGAAGAGAAAACTGAAGACATTGAAACATGCTATCAGTGTAATTTGTGTGATGAAGAATTTAAATCTGACACTGATTTAGAGAAACACTGTGAAATACATGTTGAAGTCGAGAAAATCAACGACCAAACTGAACAGATCTTCGGACTGAAGCACACCAATAAAAACCCATATAAATGTGGTGTTTGTGGTGAGGCTTTCGTTAATGGTAGCCCCCTGAAACGACACATGGCAGTTCATACAGGAGAGAAGAAAATATATGAATGTAATCTTTGTGGTCGAACATTTAGTTACCATAGCATGCTACAGAGACACATGAGATATCATATAGGGGAAAAACCTTATAAATGTGATGTTTGTAGTAAATCATTTACTGAGAGTAGTACTCTACAGAGACATATCAGAGTTCATACTGGTGTAAAACCTTATATATGTGATGTTTGTGGTAAATCATTTTCTACAAGTAGTAATTTACATCTGCATGAAAGAATTCATACTGGTGAAAAACCTTATATATGTAATGTTTGTAGTAAATCATTCACCAACACAAGTAATCTACAGAACCACATCAGAACTCACACTAGAGTTAAAACCTTATAAATGTGATGTTTGTAGTAAATCATTCACCAACACAAGTAATCTACAGAACCACATCAGAATTCACACTAGAGTTAAAACCTTATGTGTTGTTTCATTAAAGAAATGAAATGGGGTTTAACGTCCTACTGTTCTGCTCCTATGCTGGGCTAATGAAGACGGACATACGCCATACAGTGTGCTATGAGGGAAATTTTGCCCGGGCAGCGGCACTATCGCCTACTCTTATATCGAATTCCAACTGCCAAGGGATCTTTTACGTGCATTCCAATGTATACACAGGACATCATTTTTTTGTCTCATCCGAAGGACTAGGCAGCTGTCCTTGTCAGGCCCTCTGTCCTGCATCACTGACAAGGGGGAACCACGCCGGAAAATCTGGATGAACTTTCTCGGCCAATGCAGGGATCAAACACACGACCTCCAGGCTAGCGAGCCAGCGTCTTACCCACTTAGCCACGTGATCCCCCTTTTTGAGGGAGCTAAAAGCACACCTGAACTCATCTGCTGTACTCTTAACGCAGCACACAGGAACTTAAACTGGAGAAAACGCTTAAAAATGTGATGTTTGTGGTGAATCATTTAGAGACTCTGATCCGGAGTTCACAAAGCATTCGCAGACTTAATTTAAAGGAGCTAAGTCGCTAATATTTGGGACTTAGAAATTGACACAAATGGGTCGCAATACATAGAATAATGTAATATGAATGTATATAAAATGATTTACATTCAATTGTTTCTGTTTTTACTGTCATTTCTAATCAGTTAGGTTCGGCGACATACGCCAGTATTCTCAATCAAATTTCAATCTCTAGCTTCTGGTTATTCCAGTCTATGCCAATAGTATTTATTGGGCATGCTCTCCAGATAAGAATATAGGGTCACCATTTGACATGACTTGTGGAATATGCCTATTTCGTTTTTTGTGTCCCTTATTACACATAGCGCTGAAACGCATTATGGTACACGATTCGTGTACCAATTGTAAAATGTTTATTTTGTCAGATGGCCATCTTTTCCCGGTAAGATCACAACATCAATGTTGATTTAAACCGACAAATAAATCGTGTTTTCAATGTCGAAGATTTTGGATGATATTGAGTTAGAGACTTGGCTACTTTAAGACTCATTCAGTCCTAAAACCTGTTTACGTTACAAATTTTAAACGTACCAGGCACGGCACGCTTCCCTTTTTTGTAGTGTAAACAGGTCAAACGTAAGCATGCCGTGCCTATTACGGTGCCAATCTGGCCCACTGAAGTGAGGTGGTCATGGAACGGTACCAGGACCGGCTCGCTTTAAATTTTCGTAGGTATACAAACGTTAACCGGTCTGAGCACTGATTACTGCGCATGCGCCAAATGAACCTTGACCTGTTTTCCCCACAAACTTTGAATCCTCTGTCATCAGTTCTATAAAAATGGCTGCTCAAACTAAATCAACCATCATAATTGTTTTCATCTGGGTAATTTGCATAGGGTCTGAAATTAACTTTTCTGTGAAGAGTTCCACATTTAGCGTGCCTGGCATGGTTCTGAGACCAGTTTTTTTAGAGTAATGTAAACGGGTCAATTTCTTGAAATTTATCGCGGCCTGGTACCATGCCCAGAATGGCACGCATATCGCAGCGAAGTATAAATGGTGCTCCAGTCACACCCACCGTTGACCTAATTAACATTTGAATTTCACCAGCTTTTGCCGCGTATCAATGGCCTGTATATGATGATATTCCCTGCCTCATTGATCAATAAAGTTATAAATCTGGTTTGTTCTTCTAATAATTTCTTCACTGTAGAAAGTGATCCCGATTCAGAAATTAAAGGGTTTTTATCAAAGGATCTTTTAGAGATGAATAGTAATCGTCCAAGATCCCTGTACAGGCCTAGAAATTCATGTGAATCTCTGAATCTAATTCGCGCAAGGATTCTCGGAGAATTGTCGAGTCCAACTATTGAATGTCAGTCAGGGTCATTGTTCTTAACTGGCTGTATTGTGTCGGCTTTGGGGATCACGTGGCTAAGTGGGTAAGACGCTGGTTCGCTAGCCTGGAGGTCGGGTGTTCGATCCCTGTATTGGCCGAGAAAGTTCATTCAGATTTCCCGGCGTAGTTCTACCTTGTCATTGATACAGGACAGTGATACAGCTGTCTAGTACCGAGGCCCTGTGTACACATTGGCGTGCACGTAAAAGATCCCTTGGCAGTTGGAATTCGATATAAGAGTAGGCCGTAGCACCGCTGCCCGGGCAAAATTTCCCTCATAGCACACTGTATGGCGTATGCCCGTCTTCATTAGCCCAGTTTAGGAGCAGAACAGTAGGACGTTAAACCCCATTTCATTTCATTTTGTGTCGGCTTTAGCTGATTGATGTTTAATCTAGACGATTGGTAAAACAATGAACCGGCCACTATGGTATCATAAATCAGTCTACTTTGGGCTAAATTACAACGGGTTAATCATTACTTGTTAATAAAAAAATCAATCGATGCTTGTCGGCTACAATAACAGTCATACCCTAGTGAGAATCCGTCGTATGTGGTTCATAATCCGAGTAATTACAACATTTAATGGTGATTTTGATAATCCGGTAAAAAAAAAAAAAAAAAAAACTTGCTGATAATTCATAACATGTTCAGTAAAATACGCCACGTGGCGAATGATTCATTGAAGACGATCTAGGCATGATCTTCCGCTCTCCGTCCGTGTGAATTTAAGGTACCGGTAGATATTAAAATAATAACTGGATCATACATTGATGGATTCACTGACCAGTTGTTAGGTAAATTTAAATCTGCATTGAATATAATCCCTGATAGAACACCGAATACACGGAGAGAGATATAGTGGATATTTTCCCGACAAATTCCAATGACACGTGACATATCAGTTGGAATAAGGTCAACAAACTATTTCTAAATAGTGTTTACCGTTATAATTTTTTTATTTTATACACATGCTGACAGAGGCTTAATTTTAAAAATATCACAGTTGTACAGAATTTTATTTTATACCAATTTCAGTTACGTGATCATTAGACCATGTGTCTATCACCGGACTGAATAACGTGATGGACAAGAGTATTAATTGTGCTATGAAGAAATGCCATCATGCTTATTTTTGCTACAGCTTATTTTGGCTACAGCATTTTCTGGATATTACTTTTGACACAATTTAAGTGTTTACCAAAAATTCCATCTGATTGTTTTATTTTTATCATTGTTGTTGTATTTTGGTGTTTTAAATTAACACAATAAACACAATCTTGTTATTTTAGACAGTATTATTATTTAAGATTCGGAGGATTCGCGCAGATACCATATATGAGAATCCTCTTAGATTCTCGCAAAAAATGACGAATTTCTAGCCCTGCTGCTTTGGCCAAGAAAGTTCGCCGGGATTTTCCAACGTGGTTTCCCCTTTCTGAGATTTCAAATGGAGAAGAAGATGGCCTTGATTCTCACTCTTTTAATAATTATGTTGCTATGGAGATTGATACCGATTCAGAATTTGGAGGTTTTTTTATGTGTATTACAGTAAACTTCGCATAAGTCGGAACTAAGTGGACAAATTTTATCCATGTTAAAGGCTCAATACCACTCTTGTTGTAACTGAATAATATGTCCCAATCTTTATTCTGGTCAACAAATTGTACTATTTTAGAATATTTCAATTAATTGGTGATACAAATTTCATCTTAACACACCTTATTTAAATTTTTTGAAAAATTCAACATAATGGTTTGAAACGTCTAAGGTAAACCTTTTCAAATGAAACTTCGATTTAAAAATATTTTCGAACCCTCTGGACAAGTAAAATAGGATGTAATGGATAATTTACACAACAGGTAGGACATTTCAACATCTAGTACTTAGATAGAGATATTATTTATTTTCTGGAGCTTTCAAGCCAGCAAGAGTGTTATTGTCCCTTTAAGCAAAGATCTGAGTTAGGCGAAGACCGAAATTCAATCTTAGCTCGATTAGCAATAAACTGCAAGAATCAGATAATAATTGATTCAAAAGAACATTTCAAGCTTTCGTTTGTATGTGTGAGTATATAAATTCCGTATTGGTGTGAGTAGCTAACTTCCATTTTGTCGCCATTTTTTAAAAATGTCCTAAATTTTCACAGCAGAAAGCGAGTTTCGAAGTTTTCCGGGAAAATTCTATTATTGCGTCGCGTCAAGTAGTCTGATTTGAGTCAAAATGATAAAGGAAAGTATTTTGGGGCTCTGTGCATGGAATATCTAACCGCGTTTTAGACAGTCAAAATCTGAACATACTGCCGATTCGGAATTAGATCAAATGGACTGAACATTTTGATCAGAGTTGAGCGAAAATCCGACTTACACGCAGAAATTTAATAAGAAAAACGTGCAGGATCAAACGGGTCCAAACGATTTTAACCGGATTGAATGAAGATCCGACTTACACGAATGCGACTTCTGTGTTCTCCATGGGATTGAATGATAATCCTTTAATTAGGGCCTGGGAGACTCTTGGATTTCCTCCGGGTCACCAGGTTTCCTCCCACTGCTAAAGACCCCTGTGTGCAAGTGAAGTATGGAAATAAAATTGAACCATATGTTAGTCTGGAAATGACCTAATTTGTGTCGAGTGGGTGTTAAACCCCATCTCTCTCTCTCTCTCTCTCTCAGGAGATTATGAATTGATAAAATGGTTGGTCCACATAAATTTAACATAAATATTACATAATACTATCATACCATAATATAAATACATACATTACATAAACATTAATTTAATACATAAATATACATAGACATTTAACATAATACATCTAATTACATAAAGTCCCATCAATAAACCATTGCCTGAATTTAACAAGCAAAGCCAATAGGCCGGAGGCTCAGCACAGGGGGGGGGGGGGGGGGGTGTCCATCAAATGGGCACAAAACCAGACCAAACTTTTCTAGAGTGAAATTTTGCGTAGAATACGATGCCGAGTGGTAATCAGTCCGCTGTTGGGGTGTTTTCGAGATATTCGGGGTCAAAGGTCAAATGAGTTCATTTGCACTGAAAGTGAATACGCAGTCATTCTTGTATTATGAAAAGAAGCTGAAAATGATCGAAAGTAATCACACTTTCAATAAAAATGTAAACTTGCTAAATTCACCTTTGGTCTTAGTGACCCTGGAGGTCAAAAGGTGAAATTTACCGTTTTTGCACTAGGAAGATTTAAAGCAATAAAATGTCAACGTAAAATATAAAAACTAAAGCGAAACATGTTCTAATTAATAATAGGAACATTTAAAAATGATCTTTAGGTGGTCTTAGCACCGAACGTCGAAAATGATCTTGCATAACAGAACCAACACACTTGAAACCTGTTTCAAAAATACGTAAAAACTGTCAAATAGAAATCTCTCCTATTTATTTTCACAACGTTTGTTATACATAATGATACTAGTTGTCTGAAAAAAAAACAATTGAACAGTTCCATGGCTGGACTCCATGGATAAAGAAGGGTGTGTTGTGTCGATTGGGTTTTTGTTATACGACATAAAAAGTATACGGTCTGGTTTTATTTATGAATTAATAGAGTTGATCAATCCTCGTCTAAAACCAGGATACAACTCTACTCCGGAAGTAGTCTTTGTTCTCGTCACTGCAGGCGATTGATCAACAAGTCGCGACGTTTGCTCCGAGTTTCATCCGAAGAATTATTGTTTGTAAAGTATTTTAATCATCTATTGCAACGTATTTTATCTAGAACAACGGACAAGAAGAATTAGAAAGCCAACTAATGGTGAGATATTAATGGTATCCAGGCCAATAACATATTTAATACTCATTATCATATTTATTAATAATTAAATAGCAATACGATAACTACTCTACTGTGTGAACCGTGGTAAATAATAAACGGATTTCTTCGATTATGAACAAACTACTATACTTTGGTTATTATAAACTTACCTGTGTGTTTGAAATTACCTCCGGTTATATAAAATCCATTGTACAACTATATGTCCTAGCGAATAAAAAAGTTCTCTCTTGTAAAATTGAACTCATCACAAACTTTGACACCGAGAAATAACAAAAATGGAAGCTAATTACGTCACTTATCGGGATATATCATTTCGTATAGGGGGGGGTTGTGTATGAATAAGCTATTCCTCTCGGAACCCAGTAATGAGTTTGGGCGTTTAAAAACATAAATACGCCCGTAGTCCGGTATTTTGTTTCCCTCTTGTATTATAATTATTTGGTTAGAGAGTTTGGTGGGATTATTTCTTTTGAACTATATTTGTTTTACTGACCTTGAATTAATTTCACCCTTGAATATTTTTATACGCCCACATTTTCATGTGGACGTATTATGCCGTCGCCCCTGTCCGTCCGTCCGTCCACAATTGTTTGTGAACTCTTTACAGGTCACAATTCTTATCCGATTTTGACGAAACTTGAAATATAGGTTTATCCCCAAAAGATCTCTATTGCTTTCGATATTGGCATGTATCGGATCGAAACTTCATGGATTATGGCCCCTGATTTTACGAAAAATCATGTTTTTAGCTTGTGGACCCTATAGAGGTCACAATTTTTATCTGATTTTGTTGAAACTTGAAATGTAAGTTTATAACTCAAAGATCACGGTTCCTTTCGATATTCGCGCATATCAAACTGTAACTTCATGAATTATGGCCCCAGATTGTACGAAAAATCGCGTTTTTAGCTTGTGGACCCTATAGAGGTCATAATTTTTATCCAATTTAAAAAACCGTATTATTGTATCACCGTTACACCCTAAGGAAGGCTGAGTTCGAATTTCGTGACAGACAAAATGGCCGCCGTTTGTTCTCAAATAGCGTAAAAATATGGTATATATCAAGGTTGTGGACCCTATAGAGGGCACAATTTTTATCCGATTTTGATGAAACTTGAAATATAAGTTTATAACCCAAAGATCTCGGTTCCTTTCGATATTCGTGCATATCGGACCGTAACTTCCTGAATTATGGCCCCTGATTGTACGAAAAATCACGTTTTTAGCTTGTGGACCCTATAGAGGTCATAATTTTTATCCGATTTAACAAAACGTATTATTATATCACCGTTACCCCCTAAGGACGGCTGAGTTCGAATTTCGTGAAAATCGGCCCAAAATTGACTGACAAAATGGTCGCCCTTCGTTCTCAAATAGCGTAAAAATATGGTATATCAAGGCTGTGGACCCTATAGAGGTCACAATTTTTATCCGATTTTGTTGAAACTTGAAATGTAAGTTTATAACCCAAAGATCTCGGTTCCTTTCGATATTCGCGCATATCGGACCGTAAGTTCCTGAATTATGGCCCCTGATTGTACGAAAAATCGCGTTTTTAGCTCGTGGACCCTATAGAGGTCATAATTTTTATCCGATTTAAAAAAAAACGTATTATTATATCACCGTTACACCCTAAGGACGGCTGAGTTCGAATTTCGTGAAAATCGGCCCAAAACTGACTGACAAAATGGCCGCCCTTCGTTCTCAAATAGCGTAAAAATATGGTATATCAAGGCTGTGGACCCTATAGAGGTCACAATTTTAATCCGATTTTGTTGAAACTTGAAATGTAAGTTTATAACACAAAGATCTCGGTTCCTTTTGATATTTGCACATATCGAATTTTAATTTCCTGAATTATGGCCCTTGATTGTAGGAAAAATCACTTTCTTTTTAGCTTGTTCTCTATCCATCTCTCGAAAATGTGGGCGTATCCTGCCTGGCAGCCGCTGGTTAATATTTCCTGATGAACTTAAGCTGTCCTGTCAATTAACCTCAGCAATCTGCTGTAGCCGAGGTAAATGCCGATGTATTTTACATTTGCCTAGACAACATTAATAGCCGAGGCCATTGAACCATTGAATAGGTATAGGCCTATAACGTTATTTTTGTTTTATATAAATACCAAAAATTATTACCAACAATTAATCATACCGCACACCGGATTAATTATCGGCAGATAGTTCAGTTTCTTTCTATTTCGCTCTGAATATTATTTCCGGTGTGCAAAAAACTGTTTAGAAAAATTTATAATCGTACGTGATCGGTAACACAATTGTTTTGTAAATTCCCGGCTTTGTTTTGAAATTCACAAGGCAATGTATCCAATATACAATTATTTATTCTATAACTACATGCAAATACAAGTAAATATCATTGAATACGGCCATTGAATACAGCCATTGAATAACCTATAGTTGTATTCAATGGCCATTGAATAACCTATAGTTGTATTCAATGGCTTGAAAACGTACTACTTTTGTCCATAATGACGTCACTTAGGCCGTGTTGAATTGATTCCTTGTTTCTCCTCGCCCGCGCGCTTAGGTCGAGGACCCCGAAAATCGTGCGCTTACGTTTTTAACACAAAAAAAAAATATTCAAAAAATTACGTTAATAACATCTAAATAAAATTCTACCAAACATCATAAGTCAATTCTCGTTGTTTATTCCTCGTTACGAACTAAATAAGTAAGTGTAGGGGGTCGCACTACACGCAAAACAAAAATCTACAAGATAAACCTGCGGACAAGACAGAAAATAGGCATTGCACCGAATAAACACATATCAAATCAAGTGAATGGATCCGGTTGATAATACACATGTAGGGGCCCGCATACTATGGAATAAGTTACACTGTATATGATTGGATGAATTCCGCAAAATGGCGCGTGTAGCAGTCATTTCGGCTAATGAGAAAGCATATTATAAACTGTAAGACAATCGCTAATATTCAACCGCGAACCTGAATAATCAATTTTCCATTGGCTAAAATTATAACACGTCATTATTATTCAAGTATTACCCAATCATATCTTGTGTAATAAATAACGCACGCCTTACAAAATGGTGAGCTATGCCGGGATATAGGTAAATTCGCGTACCGGTCGGCCTAATTTATTGATGTTCAAGGAAATAATAGTGGCCCCGTTCGCTCGTTTGTGGAGTTTAACGAACGAACGAACAAACGGGACCACTATTATTTCCTTGAACATCTATAAATAAATTAGGCCGACCGGTACGCGAATTTACTTATCTCGACTCGACTTTGGTGGTTATTCCCAGCACTTTCACGTTCGATGATATTATCGAAACCATCTATAACTCAACAAGCGAATCAAATATCGTCTAACTGGAATGTTTCCATTGTATTTTAACACAAGAATACGGAAAATTTATATCAAAATATGGTTATTTCATTTTTTAAAAAGTTAAACAAAGAAGCCACTTGTTACCAAATTTTAGTTTGTTATTAATTTTATTTAATTAAATATTATCTGTGTTTTTATTCTAACCAATAATATAACTAGATTATTTATAATATTATTAAAAATGGTACACAACCCTCAGACTATATAGGTATTATGCCAGACCACTTTGTGTTTTGAAACCCACTTTGTGTTGTGTTTACCGCACTACCGCACATGATTGCCTGAGTGGTGGCAGGAGAAACAAGGAATCAATTCAACACGGCCTTACAGAACTACGTCAAACTGTAATGACGTCACAACTAGGCAACCACAATTTTTGTAAAAAAGAAAGAAAAAAGGGCGGAACCTATGATGAATTTTAACGTTAGTGGTGATGATTTTTTATGATAATCTAGATAGTACAGTGTATTTTAAGATTTGCATGTACTTATAGAATAAAAACAGAACTCAATGACCATTGAATACCGCTCGGGTTATTCAATGGTTCACTCGAGTGTATCCCTGCCGCATTCCACTCGCTATCGCGCAGGGATACACTCTCTTGAACCATTGAATAACCCGAGCGGTATTCAATGGTCATTGAGTTCTATCTATATATACAGGGGTGAAAAACAATATTATATTTACGAGTATTCGTATAATTGGTGATATATTCATTGTAAATAAAATTTAATAGACTGACAATCAATTGTTTCCAAATCAATGTCTTTGTCTCAGTTGCTATTGTGTTGCCCAAACTCAAAAACTTGAAACGGTCGTGCGCTGTTGTGATTACAACACACGTGATTCAACCTTTACCCCCCTTCAAAATATTATGATGGTTTAGCTCATGACGTGACATGTGTAATGTTGTGATGGACACTGTCGAAAATACAAGCAAAAACATTGACTTTTCAAGAGAGAACTTTTGTTTTGGTTTGGATATTTAATTGTGCAATGGATACACCTTGAAAACAAGGTATATAACTATTACAAAAACATGTTAAATAGCAATATTACAGCAGACATACTTTCGTGTATGTACTTTTATTTTCGTTGTTCAAATATATGTACTTTTATTTTCGTTGTTCAAATATATTCTCTTATTGTCGGTGTTCAAATATATTCTCTTATTGTCGGTGTTCAAATATATTCTCTTATTGTCGGTGTTCAAATATATTCTCTTATTGTCGGTGTTCAAATATATGGACTCTCATTTTCATTGTTATAAATCATGATCAAATACTACGGGTAAGTACATAACAATTAAATTTTTCATATTAAAACAAACACAATTATCATTTTATTAAAACAATACTTTATTATTGGTTCGAGTAGTCATATTAAAACAAACACAATTAATAATTTATTAAAACAACACTTTATTATTGGTCCGAGTGGTCTTTTTGTTTGGTCCGAGTGGTCTATCAATTGGTCCGAGTGGTCTACCGAACACAAATTGGCGACCTATTCGGCTAGCGACCTATTCGACCCATCCAGCTGGCAACCTGTTCGTTGGCAACCTATTCACAATTATGCCAACAGTCGCCCAAACTCATCTATTTTTATCAACCAATAAAACCCAACGTTGCGTCTTCCAAATGAAAGTAGAATATATTATTTTATCCATTCCTTTAGCTCAGAATAGAGCACAATCATATTAAAGGGGTGCGCTCTCATCCTAAACGTCGCCAATTTTTCAATATTTTAAAGTGAAAGAATGGTAATATTCCGAGTCAAAATTTAGACCATCGTACAAAATTCTGAGCATCCAGCTATATATATTCAGAAAGGTAATTGAATAAGCTTTCTTAATATTATTAGTGAAAGTTGGCACAATCATATTAAAGGGGTGCGATCTCATCCAATACGTCGCCAATTTTTCAATATTTTAAAGTGAAAGAACGGTAATATTCCGATTAAAAATTCAGACCATTGTACAATATTCTGAGCATCCAGCTATATATATTCTGAAAGGTAATTGAATAAGCTTTTCAAATATAATTAGTAAAAGTTGGCACAATCATATTAAAGGGGGGGGCTCTCAACCTGAACATAGCCAATTTTTCATTATTCTAAATGTAAAGTTAAACTGATATTTTGTTCGAAGTCCAAATTTGGATCATCGTACAAAATTCTGAGCATCCAGCTTTATATATTCTGAAAGGTGATTGAATAAGCTTTCTAAACATTATGAGTGAAAATTGGCACAATCATGTTAAAGGGGTGCGCTCTCATCCTAAACATTGCCAATTTTTCAATATTTTAAAGTGAAAGAACGGTAATATTCCGAGTCAAATTCGGACCATCGTACAAAATTCTGAGCATTCAGCTATATATATTCTGAAAGATAATTGAATAAGCTTTTCAAATATTATTAGTGAAAGTTGGCATAATCATATTAAAGGGGTGCGCTCTCATCCTAAACGTCCCCAATGTTTCAATATTTTAAAGTGAAAGAACGGTAATATTCCGAGTCAAGATTCGGACCATCGTACAAAATTCTGAGCATCCAGCTACATGTATATATATTCTGAAATGTAATTGAATAAGCTTTCCAAATATTATTAGTGAAAGTTGGCACAATCATATTAAAGGGGTGCGCTCTCATCCAATACGTCGCCAATTTTTCAATATTTTAAAGTGAAAGAACGGTAATATTCCGAGTCAAAATTCAGACCATCGTACAAAATTCTGAGCATCCAGCTATATTTATTCTGAAAGGTAATTGAATAAGCTTTTCAAATATTGTTAGTAAAAGTTGGCACAATCATATTAAAGGGGTGGGCTCTCAACCTGAACATAGCCAATTTTTCATTATTCTAAATGTAAAGTTAAACTGGTATTTTGTTCGAAGTCCAAATTTGGATCATCGTACAAAATTCTGAGCATCCAGCTTTATATATTCTGAAAGGTGATTGAATAAGCTTTCTAAACATTATGAGTGAAAATTGGCACAATCATGTTAAAGGGGTGCGCTCTCATCCTAAACGTTGCCAATTTTTCAATATTTTAAAGTGAAAGAACGGTAATATTCCGAGTGAAAATTCGGACCATCGTACAAAATTCTGAGCATCCAGCTATATATATTCTGAAAGGGGATTGAATAAGCTTTCTAAATATTATGAGTGAAAGTTGGCACAATCATATTAAAGGGGTGCACTCTCATCCTAAAAGTCGCCAATTTTTCAATATTTTAAAGTGAAAGAACGGTAATATTCCGAGAAATTCGGACCATCGTACAAAATTCTGAGCATCCAGCTATATATATTCTGAAAGGGGATTGAATAAGCTTTCTAAATATTATGAGTGAAAGTTGGCACAATCATATTAAAGGGGTGCACTCTCATCCTCCAAATCGCCAATTTTTCAATATTTTAAAGTGAAAGAACGGTAATATTCTGAGTCAAAATTCGGACCATCGTACAAAATTCTGAGCATTCAGCTATATATATTCTGAAAGATAATTGAATAAGCTTTTCATATATTATTAGTGAAAGTTGGCACAATCATATTAAAGGGGTGCGCTCTCACAATTTTTCAATATTTTAAAGTGAAAGAACGGTAATATTCCGAGTCAATATTCGGACCATCGTACAAAATTCTGAGCATCCAGCTACATGTATATATATTCTGAAATGTAATTGAATAAGCTTTCCAAATATTATTAGTGAAAGTTGGCACAATCATATTAAAGGGGTGCGCTCTCATCCAATACGTCGCCAATTTTTCAATATTTTAAAGTGAAAGAACGGTAATATTCCGAGTCAAAATTCAGACCATCGTACAAAATTCTGAGCATCCAGCTATATATATTCTGAAAGGTAATTGAATAAACTTTCCAAACTTTCCAAATATTATTAGTAAAAGTTGGCACAATCATATTAAAGGGGTGCGCTCTCATCCAATACGTCGCCAATTTTTCAATATTTTAAAGTGAAAGAACGGTAATATTCCGAGTCAAAATTCAGACCATCGTACAAAATTCTGAGCATCCAGCTATATATATTCTGAAAGGTGATTGAATAAGCCTTCTAAATATTATGAGTAAAAGTTGGCACAATCATATTAAAGGGGTGCACTCTTATCCTAAACTTCGCCAATTTTTCAATATTTTAAAGTGAAAGAACGGTAATATTCTGAGTCAAAATTCGGACCATCGTACAAAATTCTGAGCATCCAGCTATAGATATTCTGACAGGTAATTGAATAAACTTTCCAAACTTTCCAAATATTATTAGTAAAAGTTGGCACAATCATATTAAAGGGGTGCGCTCTCAACCTGAACATAGCCAATTTTTCAATATTTTAAAGTGAAAGAACGGTTAAAATATCAAAATACGGGTATTAATACGAAATACCAGTTATTGTGTTATAAATTACTGGAAAGTGTGTTTCTTTGGCTGTTTGAATCTATCAATTATTTCCTGGCACATTCAAAATTACGCACGGTCATCTAGAAAGTTTCTTGTGGTGTACCAGCTTGATTTCTGTTGTCGTGCGGTGAATATCTTCTTTATAAAGCTTAAAATAGATGTGAACATCTCAGTTCTTTAGAATATAAATAAAATGGCTGTCAATATAAACTCTTAAATATCTTGGTTATCTCAAATGGAAATGATCATAGTCAACTGACAGAGACAACCTATTTACAGCAAGATTCTCCAAGTGACAAATTCATCCAAGATCAAGCATAACAGAATTATTTTTCCCAATCATCCTACTGGCATTGTCCCATTTAAAGGTCCAGCCTCGTGGGTTTTCTCCGGGTCCTCTGGTTTCCTCCCACTGCTAAAGACCCCTACGCGCAAGCGAATTATTGAAATAGAATTATACCATATGTTAGTCCCGAAATGACCTAGTTTGTGTTGCGTGGACGTTAAACCCCATTTCTCTCTTTCTCCCATTTAAAGGACAATATTGGTGTCGGTCATTATCACATGTGATAGAACTGGTTAAACACATTCCAAATAAAATTTTAACACAGAGATCATTTCTATGATAGATGCATAATTAAAGTTTCATGAATCGGAAGTGACGAATGCCAAAGGAAAACACAAGTTATCCCTCTATATAACCGACTGATAAAGACGAGAGTATCATTGTCGAAACGTTGCATGTTAATAAACCAGAAATTGTTATTCTATAAATAGTGTTAGTGTGTTATAACTTTTATATTACAGGAAACTAATAACTTTTATATATTACAGGAAGCTAATGATGTTATAACTTTTATATATTACAGGAAACTAATGATGTCATAACTTTTATATATTACAGGAAACTAATGATGTTATAACTTTTATATATTACAGGAAACTAATGATGTTAAAACTATTCACCAGTGTGGTGTATGTGATGAAATTTTTCAACGATATGATGATTTAGTAAAACACAATAAGATACATGTTAAAGAAGAGAAAACTGATGATGTAGATGAATATTGTCATGTTCAATTTAAAGAAGAGAAAACTGATGATATAGATGGATATTGCCATGTTAAAGAAGAGAAAACTGAAGATATTGAAACATGCTATCAGTGTAATTTGTGTGATGAAGAATTTAAATCGGACACTGATTTAGAGAAACACTGTGAAATACATGTTGAAGTCGAGAAAATCAACGACCAAACTGAACAGATCTCTGGACAATCCAAAGATTGTAAGACAAAGCGTGACGAGAATTTTAAATCTGATATTTGTAATAAATCATTTAATGAAAGTCAGCAATTACAAAATCACATCTTGAAGCACACCAATAAAAACCCATATAAATGTGGTGTTTGTGGTGAGGCTTTCGTTAATGGTAGCCCCCTGAAACGACACATGGCAGTTCATTCAGGAGAGAAAATATATGAATGTAATCTTTGTGGTCGAACATTAAGTTGCCTTAGCATACTACAGAGACACATGAGAATTCATACTGGTGAAAAACCTTATAGATGTGATGTTTGTAGTAAATTGTTTTCTACCTGTAGTAATTTACACCTGCATGAAAGAACGCACAGTGGAGAAAAAGCATATACCTGTGGAGTTTGCGGCAAATCTTTCAAACATTGTAGCACTCTTCAGTTACATATGAGAATTCATACAGGTGAAAAACCTTATAAATGCGATGTTTGTGGTACATCATTCGCCCGAATTAGTACCCTACAAGCACACACGAAACGTTCGACCGACGAAAAAATGTATAAATGCCATTTTTGTTGTAAATCTTTCATGAATCTTATCAATCTAAAAGAACACATCACAATTCATCCAGAAGCAAGAACCATGGTCAATCATTCAGCCTCAAAAGTCAACTACAGAACCACATGAAAACTCATATCGGTGATAAATCTTATAAATGTAATGTTTGTAGTAAATCATTCACCCAGTGTAGTTCTCTACAATCACATGTCATATTTGTAATAAAACATTTACTAACAGCAGTGGTCTACAGAAACACATGAAGTATCATACAGGTGAAAAAACATAAATGTGATGTTTGTGGTAAATCATTTACTAACAGTAGTCATCTGCAACCACATCAGAATTCATACTGTAGGAAAAACCTTATGTGTTGTTTGTGATAAATGTTTCATTAATGGAAGGGAGCTAAAAGCACACCTGAACTCATTTGTTGTACTCTAAAGCAGCACACAGGAACTTAAAGGAGCTAAATCACTAATATTTTGCATCTAGAAATTGACACAGATGATTCGTAACGCATATATATAATAATGTAATATGAATGTATATAAATTGATTTACATTCAATCGTTTCCGTTTTTACTCTAATTTCAAATCAGTTATGTTCTGCGAAATACGCCAGAAGTCTCAATCGAATGGCAATCTCTAGCGTCTTGTCATTCTAGTATTTATTGCGCATGCTCCCCGGATAAGAATATGGCATCACCGTTTGACATGACTTGTGGATTATGTCTAGCCTCGTTCTTCAAGTCCCATGTTACAAATGGCACTGAAGCATCACAATTTGTGTACCTATGGTAAAATGTATATTTTGTCTTAAATATTGGATATCAGAAGCACATCTTTTCCCGGTAAGATCACAACATCAATGTTGATTTAAATTGACAAATAATTTGTGTTTTCAATGTCGAAGAATTTTGATGATATTGAGTTAGAGACTTAGCCAATTTAAACAGGAGAAAACCCTTAAAACTGTGATCTTTGTGGTGAATCATTTAGAGACTCTGGTCCATGAAATGAAATGAAATGGGGTTTAACGTCCTACTGTTCTGCTCCTATACTGGGCTAAAGAAGACGGGCATATGTCATACAGTGTGCTATGAGGGAAATTTTGCCCGGGCAGCGACACTATCGCCTACTCTTATATCAAATTCCAACTGCCAGTTTTTCGTGTCATCTGAAGGACTAGACATCTGTCCTTGTCAGGCCCTCCATTCTGCACCACTGACAAGGGGAAATCAGGTCGGAAAATCCCGCTGAACTTCTCTGGTCCAGAGTTCACAGACTTAATTTAGTCCAAGTCACGGCCACCGTTGATCTAATTTCACCAGCTTATGTCACGTATCAGTATAATATGATGATATTCCTTGCCTCTTTCATCAATAAAGTTATAAATTATGTTCGTTCTTCCAATAATAATCCCCGGTTGTACGTGACAAGGAGTAGGGTCGCCTGTCCAACCTTGTGGGTTTTCTCCGGGTCCTCCGGTTTCCTCCCACTGCTAAAGACCCCTACGCGCAAGCGAATTATTGAAATAAAATTAAACAATATGTTAGTCCCGAAATTACCTAGTTTGTGTCCAGTGGACGGTAAACCCCATTTCTTTCTCTTTCTCTCTTCAATAATTTCTTCACTGTGGAAAGTGATCCTGATTCAGAAATTGAAGGGTTTTTATCAAAGGATCTTTCAGACGTGCATAGTAATCTTCCGGAAAGTGATTTTTCCGAGATCCCTGCATTGGCCGAGAATGTTTGCCGGGATTTTCCGACATTGGTTTCCCCTTTCTGAGATTTCAAATGGAGAAGAAAATAGCCGTGATTCTCATTCTTTTAATAATTATGTTGCTATGGAGATTGAATCCGATTCAGAATTTGGAGGTTTTTTTATGTGTATTACAGTAAACTTTGCATAAGTCGGATCTAAGTGTATTGACCTATTTTATCCGAGTTAAACAAAGATCTGAGTTAGTCGAAGACGGAAATTCAATTTTAGCTCGATTAGAAATAAACTGCAAGAGCTGAATAATAACTGATTCAAAGGCATAATTCAAGCTTTTGTTCGTATGTGCGAGTAGATAAATTCCGTATTGGTGCGAGTAGATAACTTCCGTTTTGTAGCCATCTTTTAAAAATGTCCTAAATTTTCCTAGTCTCTATCATCCAGAAAAATATTCTACGAATATTAGTCTGGACAGGTTGTCAACATTTGAGAAAAATTGGCTAGATAATCCGGTCTTTCACATTATCATAAACAATGTCTAAGGGAGGTAACTCGTCTTAAAATAAGATGTTTACGCCCATGAAATTAATTTTAAGAATGTCATTTCAAAAAATCCATTTGATTGCATGCTAGTTCAATATCTAACACTCTTAATTTTTTATTGTAAAATTTCTCTCTTCATGGGCCATATCTATGCTTTTAAAATTAATCCTAATTCGTCGTCACGATTCATGTTTGTTTATATTAATGCAAGAATTATGTGATTTATTGTGGGGAGGGGCGCAACTCTTACTTGACTTGGCTAAAGAGACTGGATAATCAACCACATTAAAAACCAAACTCCCGGTTACGCATGGGCAATGGACTTTACATCAAATATTGACAACCTTCCCAGACCCTCCGTATGTTGAAGACTAGGGGGTTCTGGGTGACCGAGACTAAAATTTTCCCGGAAAGTGTCTCGTACAGCAGACAGAAAGTTTCAAATTTTTCCGGGATAATTCTGTTATTGCGTCGTGTCAAATAGGCTGATTGGAGTCAGAATGATAGAGTAAAGTATTTTGGGGCTCTGTTCATGGAATACCTAACCGCGTTTTAGACCATCGGGACGAAACTGACAGTCAAATTCTGAACATACTGCCTATCCGACTTAGGCGAAGGAAAAAATCCGGAATTAGATCAAATGGACCAAACATTTTGATCCGAGTTGAGCAAAGATACGACGTATACGAATCCGACTTATACGAGGTTTACTATATTTTGTGTTCTCTATGGGATTGAATGATAATCCTTTAATTAGGGCCTGGGTTTAACGTCCTACTGTTCTGCTCCGAACTGGGCTAATGAAGATGGACATACCCCATACAGTGTACTATGAGGGAAATTTTGTCCGGACAGCGACACTATGGCCTACTCTTACATTGAATTCCAACTGTCAAGAGATCTTTTACGTGCACGCCAATGTGTACACAGGGCCTCGGTACTAGACAGCTGTATCACTGTTCTGTGCTATATCAATGACAAGGTAGAACCACGCCGGGAAATCTGGATGTACTTTCTCAGCCAATGCAGGGATCGGACACCCGACCTCCAGGCTAGCAAGCCAGCATCTTAGCCACCATGATCCCCCATCATAAAGTCTTGTATTATCGTTCCAAAATTTATTTAAAGGAGCTAAATCGCTAATATTTGCGACCTAGAAATTGACCCAAATGGGTCGCAACGCATATAATAATGTAATCTGATTGTATATAAACTGATACACATTCAATTGTTTCCGTTTTGACTCTTAATTTCAAATCAGTTATATCCAGCGAATTACGGCATGTGTCTCAACCCTATAGCAATTTCTAGCATCTGGTTAATCCAGTCTATTGAGCAGGCTCTCCTGTTGAATATTCCTAGCCTCGTTCTTTCTGGTCACTTGTTGCAAATGGCGCTAAAACGCACTATGGTACACGATTCGTGTACCAATGGTAAAATGTTTATTTTGTCTTAAATATTGGATATCAGAAGCCCACATTTTCCGGATAAGATCACAACATCAATGATGATATGAATTGACAAATAATTTGTATTTTCAACGTGTAAGACTTTGGATGATATTGAGTTAGAGACTTAGCTACTTTAAAGCAGCAATAAAACTGTTATTCTCTCCATCAAATAAGTCCTTCTAAATTTAGTTGTCTTGTCTACAAATAGCTTGAGAACAGAGACAGACACTAAGCCAGTTGACCGACATTTTAAGTCCTAAATCAAGATTTTAGTTGAAAACACTAAGTATATATTTTCTGCTTTCATTTAATAAAATTGAAAAAGTTTAATTGGTCTTTTTGTGAATAACCAGGGGCGCAGATCGCCAAAAATTAGTGGTGGGGACAGTTCATGCACGGGCGACTATTGGTAAAGAGGTTTTTGGTTTTTTTGAAAACTAGACGCTAAAAGTCCCTACGTGGAAGCTTGAAATAAAATTGAATCTTATGTAAGTCTCGAAATGACCTAGTTTGTGTCTAGTGGAGGTTGAACTCTCTCTCTCTCTCTCTCTGGAAATTATGAATTGATAGATCTTAAACGTCTGGTCAATGTACCATTCTTTGCATTACCAGCAATTCTAATTGTTTATCGGTTGCAAATATCAAATATCGGTTATCGTTTCTGTGAACATTCTGCTGCAAGAGGGGTCTCTGGAATGAAGTGAATTATTCGGGTTGGAGAGGTCCAGGACTGCATCATGTATACAGCCTGCTACCGGAAGCGAATTATTTTTCCGTGACGTAACAGCCGACGTAACATTTTACGGCGGACGAGACCAATCAGCAGTCTTGTATTTTGTTTTAATAATCGTCAACCCGTCACACAATCGTCAATAGCTTCACAAATAGTTGCAAACAAAATAATGGTGAGTACTCCTATAAATTAGATGTTACTCGATTTTGATATTCTGACAACGTAACATGAAACATACGAACAGTGAAAAGCTTGACGTAAAAGTTAGTAACTAGTTTACTCGCGCAAGCGGCAAATTAACCAAATCCACCATTATTTCAACTCTAGACCATTACTGCATTAGATCTATGGAACAGACCCACTATAACCCGGATTTTGGAACACTTGGTATTTTAATAGGCATGTACCTTAGATACAAAGACAGCTTAATTTAGCTTTCTGCAAATTTATTCCAGGTATAAATCTGCTAGGCTAGTCATATAATAATTTATGAAAATGAAATGTAGTTTAACTTCCTACTGTTCTGCTCCTATACTGGGCTAATGAAGATGGTCATACACCATACAGTGTGCTATGAGGGAAATTTTGCCAGGGCAGCAGCGCTATGGCCTACTCTTATAATGAATCCAACTGCCAAGGGACCTTTTGCATGCATGCCAGTGTATACAAGGGTCCTCGGTTTTTAGTACCCATCCGAACGACTAGACAGCTGTTCTTGTCAGGCCCTCCATTCTGCACCACTGACTAAGGGGAAATGATGCCGG